ATACTCATTAATCTTCTCATGGGTATGTCGTTTCCGTTTATTATCTTTCATCATCTTTATTGATGATTTGTATGTTTTATCGTGAGCTACTCGTTTTATCATATCCTTTACTTGAAGACCCCTCCCCTCCCTCTTCACCATCATGAGGTACATGCACACAGTATGACTTCATTTGCTCACTAGTCATATTCAACTCTTTATTTCTATCACCTATAATCAAATTAAAATGATTTGATAATAATTCATTGTTCTTTTACCAAATGGTATGCTTGTTACACCATTTTTCTCATTCAGTGTCAGACGAGACAATTGTCCTCGCTCCGGTCGACCGGTGTACTGGTAAGTGTCCTCCATTGTTGTAATAAACTCACTGTCCTTATGAGCTTCAATACCTCCTAAATAAGAGGTATATAGTGTATTATTTCATTTGGTTTATTGTTTATTGTTATCATACTTTTAACGTTGTCTTTATTAAGTTTGGCTCCTATCTCTTTGTTGATTTTTCTCTCCTCTTCAGTTATTGGATGATGTACATACGACTCCAAGTATTGAGTTCCATCTCCAATAGCTTGAGAATTATTAGGAGGAGGTAGGGGGAGAGGAGGAGGAGAAGGAGGACGAGCAGTTTTAGTACCAATGATGCAACTAGTTGGATGATACCTCATTCTGTTATTATTATTGCTATTATTATCATTATTATTAGGAGAAGGATCATTATTTTGCTGATGTTCAATTGAAAACATAATCCTGTTAGTTGTCATGAACTCATTACTTCTCAAATTTGAAGGGAACTTCAAATGACTCCCAAAGACTGAGAGATGAGCTGGAGGAGCATGAGAAGAACAACCTTTGGAATATGAGTCAGGCCCAAGGTCCTTATAACACTCTTTAGTGGTTGATCTGTACGGCTCTTGGGGCATATTGATTCTCTCAGTTATAGTGAGGCCAGAAGGAGGAAGAGTAGAGGGTTTAGTTGGAGATATTGTTTGTTTTTGAGGAGTAGGATCAATAAATGCTCTACCTGTGGTGGTTAATTCAGAAGGGAGGAGAGCTTTCTTCTGTAGGTGGTATGGGAAATAGAGCGAGGCTTTGCTCTGCATCATCATCTTGAGCTGAGAAGAAAAGAAGACCCTTTGGCTTTTGAAACTAGCACTATCCAAGGACGCTTGGTGGAAACCGCCTCAACCCGGGAAAGTTACTGCGCATGCGTCCTCTCAACACCCACGCCTTGTTGCACCTTGAGCTACCACCCACGCGAGGCCTCGTGTTTTCTGGAGATCAAAATGGAAGGACTTACATTTCTTCTTCAAACCTTTGTCTCCACTCTAGCCAGCATGATGGTGGGATTCCTGTGGCACTCTGAGCTCCTCTTCGGTAGAAGCTGGTGGAGGAACACCTTCCCAGGGATCAGATTCGGGGATACAAAGTTATTCAAAGAAGCAGGGAACTTTCCACTCTACATGACAATGATAGTAACAATAATACAGAATATAGTACTAACCTATGTTATTAATACACTCTATCCTTTACTGGTCCAGACTACAGGGGATGGGGTATTCTTTCCAGCTGCCTGTAGTGTGGTTATCTCCATCATTCTCTCCTGTGTTATATTCCCTCATTTTGTGTACAGTCGGAAACCTTTTGTCCTCTATCTGATTGCAGCTGGACATAACGTATTCCAGACCACAGCCGCCATTTTTGTAATCTATTACCTCATAGCAACCGGCAAAGACTAACAAACTATTGACTACCACCATTATATAACCAAAACTCACATTTAATTAATTAATAATGGTTTATTTAATCACGGGCTCATGTTATCGATTAATCATTTTTGTTGTATTTTTTTGATGATTTTGATAAAAAAATTAGCTGATCACACCCATCCATCATATAATATACTAATAATAATCAATATAGATCCAATCATAATAAACTATATATTATTCATATAAACTATTATATACAACAGTAATCCCAACTACACAGTATACACTTGAACTAATAGAAGGACTCAATAATGTCACTGTACTTAATGGTGATGAACCTTCTCTTTAGCTTCATAGTGTGAGCTGAGAGAGAAAGAAAGAGTATATTAAATTGTAATCATTTTCTGTTGATAATGATGTACTTAGTTCTCCTGACTGAATTGAGAAGTCACGATCCAAAATTGACCACTTGACAATCTGAAAAATAAAATGAAAAAATATGTACATGTACATATATCACATTAATCTTATCCTACTCCCTCTCTCTTACCTTGTGCTTCTTACAGGCAGCTCCTCTATTAACTCTATCAATCCCGTTTTGAATCATCTTGAGTACCCTGTGGTCGCTGGGTTCATCCAGGATATCCCTCACAGTCTTTGACTGACTGCCACAAGACTGGCATATAGCCAGGGCAGTGGGGTTGAGCCGATCAGTAGCATAACCAGTCACATCATCAAACTCAACCTACAGAACATTGCTGCATTAGAGTGGTGTACATATGCAGCTGGTAATTTTGGAGGCGAAATTTTGGAAAATTTGGCATTTTGACAGCCAAATAATATTTTAACAATATGCCTATGCTCAACCAAATTAAAAAACTTCCAGTCATCAAAAATTTAGCAATACCGTATAGCGGAAAATTTTCATGGCCCAAAATTTTCGTGGATTTCGCGTTTTTTTTCAAAACCCACAAAAATAAAATCCGCAAAAATCGATTTTATACGGTTTAAGATGACCGAATTGTAGAAAACCACGAAAATTAAAGCCACGAAATTGATTTTTGGACGGATCCACAAAAATTTTGGGCCACGAAAATTTTCCGCTATACGGTACTCCCCTCTCCAAATTACCAGGTATAAAGTGTTATAATTAATACTTTTAATGTGATGAGACAGGATATGTAGCTCTTCTGGTCTCCCACTATCACTGCATTACTGACTATTGGCAGCTGCTCCTTCAACGCTGACTCAATCGGAACTGGAGCAATATTCTCACCAGTTGCTAATACCAGCAACTCTAAATAGTTATAATAAATAAATAAATAAATAATATTAATTACCTTTAGCTCTGCCAGTAATGTAAAGAAATCCTTCCTATAAAATAAGAACATGTATTAATGTAATGTGGAGAAACCTCTTTGTACTATAGTACAGGGACTTTTGCCCGATTCTGGAGCAACTTTTAAAATTCGTAAAAAATTTAATTTTGATCAGAATCAGCTCAAACTTTCTACACAACATAAGAACATGTATATGTATCAGGAAATGTCATAAAAATGGAGAATTCTCTCCTAGTCATTTTTGGCAAAATTTGACCAAAATCCCTGTACTATATATATGTACTTATAGCAAGGCTGCAAAAGTTGTGGCAGCCATTTCGAAGTGGGGTGAATCTAGTCTCGCGTAGCCAGACCACACCCTCCGTGCCTACGGGTGGTCTGGCAAATTGACCATACTCCGCTCGTTCTGGTTCACCCAAAAATGGGTGAACCAATTTTTTTGCTCTACTTCACCCAGAAACGGGTGAATTGATACAGTAACTCTTGACTCTTCTCTTCTACTACCTTCTTCTTAAGTGACAAAAAGCTAGAGGAACAGCTGTGACAAATTATACATCTTCTCCCTCTCACGGCCCGCTTGATCTATGCCAATTAAAGGGCTACCAAAGCTCTCTTCCGAAAG